TTTCAAGTCAAGAACCAGCTTATTGTAAATGCAACTGTGACATTTTTCTTCGACTTAAGGACACTCTTTCAGGTAGAATGGCTTATCGTTATTAGCATACCTAGCAGGTATTAGATACCTGGTGTGGCACTTGACATTGACAGAAATAAATTATCTGCTTTATATACTTACTTCTATATAGATTGGTTTGACTTGCATTCCAGAAAAGTTATCAAAAGTGATACAAGTTGCCTATGCACTTTTATATTATTGTATAATTTTCTGTTGCATTTCGTATCGATTGCAGTTATCTATGTGTATGTAATCTAAAGTAGTAATTATGCTTTTGTAGAGGAGTTGAATGCACAATCTAAAAAAAATTTATGAGTAGCTATACAGGGAGCTTTCAAAAAGTAATAAGAATACAGTTGAACTTCTGTAACTCGATAAAATAATGTTACCCTATTAATATTGTAAATGCGAATGTGAATTAGTTTGTTTGTTTATTACTATTTCACGCCTTAATTATTGAGCCGATCATCATGAAATTTTATATACACATTATCAAAGGTACAGCAAAGGACATAGGGTGCCCGCTATCTAGAAAAAAAAATACTGTTCCCGTGGGATAAAAAAATTTCTTTTCATCTCGACAAAGATGCAAGATTCTACACAAAATGACGTTAAGCTAACCTAACCTACAAAATTAGAAATACCACTTTTATCCTGATGATCCTAGTTAGAACTTAAGAACAAATTCATCAAATTATTGTATTTTGGATGATTTTAGGATATCAGCGCGAGCGAAGCCGCTGGTAAGAGCTTGTGTATTATATTACGGATAACAGCAAACAAAGCGTCTAGTTTAAGATTATAAGGTTTCAGTAGGAAAAGACAACATGAACGAAGTACTTGTAACGTCTGACATCGTGATCTGGGGTTGTAAGGGTCTTTAGAGGTAGTCTTAACAACAACAACATTTATACGTAGAAGAGATGACTTTGGAAATGTAAGGAAATCCAGGAATTTTCCAACTAGAATTTTCTGACTGGTCACTTTCATATAGGAGGATCAAGTTAGGGAAGGTTAATTGTGTTGTTATTTATATTCATCTGTACGCATTCTAGCACCATCATCATCATCATCATAAGGCAGTCCTAAGACTTGTTGGACATGCGTCTCCATACTTTTATTTCTTGAACCCACCTTGTAGATGTCCAATCTTTTATTTCTTGTTTGGTTCCCTATTTTACTGGACACATCTGCTCTTCCTGAATCCCCTTTTCATTCGACAGGCTTAAAGGGGTTCATGTTTTTTTTTCTTTTCGACAAACCCCTCGTACACCCATGGTAACAGTTTGTACAATAACCGGCGAAATAACATTAGAACGACAGACCCCAGTTCGAAGCTATCAAGCATGGGTACATAAAGGTGTATGTACATAGGTACTACATGTATATAGACGGTTAAAAGCCAGCATCTCTTTATAAAGTTTTCACTTGATATCTAGACACATGTGCTCGAAGACTAAAAAAGCTTCGGGTTTCAGTTTCCAGCAATCGTGAGAAGTTTCGTTAATGAGTTGAGGTCGTATCGTGTGAAATAAAAATATAGTTGAATAGCTCGACAGTTTTTATATTGTTTTGTGTCATTTTTATGTGAAGATGGCCGGAGTGAACGACGGGGTTGAAGATAAAGAAGAGAAAGGTTTAGAAATGGAAACTTTTGAAAGATCGAATGGTACGGAAAATACAAAACGGTTTCAAGTGAAAAAAGTGAAAAGTAATGCTTCAGAACATCGCGTTCGATTATCGGAGAGGGATGAAAATGCGGGAGATAGAACGGAAAGCGAGGATGAAGACACTCACGTCGATATCAACGAAAGGACGCGGTTGAATTCGGAAAATGACACGAAGTATGCCAAAAGTTTTAGGTAAGTACAACCCTCCTTCTCCCTTAAAAACGCTTTTTAAATCAATCAAGAAACTATCACCGTCAAGGGTTGTTTAAAGGTTTTTTTTTTTCATTAACTTCGAAATAAATAATCAACAAGTGCTTTATACGTATTGGATGAGTGGGACGCTGTACTATTTTTTTTTATTTTTTACTTTGAATTTGAAATCACACAACACTTAACCGTTATCATAAAAAGGAAGAACAATTTTTATGAGATTTATCTATTAGCAATGATGAGCCAATGTCTTCGAAATTTAGTCGATAAGAATATTTCTTGTACTTATATAGTTAATTCAAAATAAAATATACGTAGGTTGGTACACAAGTAATAAATCACTTTTTTTTTAAATAATTGTTGTTTATGCATTGCAGCAATAAAATACTGACGTTTATTGCACGTTTCTGCTCGGTTATTATATAATTATAAATTAATTCCGATTCTAAGTATCCATAGTAGATTAGATTTTTGCACAACATTCAGGATATTCAACAAGCTTTCGTACTACATTGCATAAAGTTAGAATTTTTTTTGGAAAAAATTAACTGAGAATGAATCACGCTTGTTTACTTATTCGGTTAAAATACAAAAAAATGTTTTCATTTTCTTTTACAATGAACAATAAAAATCTGTACTTTGTCAGAATTGTTAATTTTTCACGTCTTATTTAAAATCGAATATATTCTTTTAATTTTTTCAGACTTAAAAGTACTAACGTAGGAGTCCTCTGTTTNTGAAGAATAAATAAATAAAAAATTATAATGTTTCGTTGATGTTTAAAAAATGAAATCAACAAAGGAAATTTGATAATTTGTCGCACCTGCAATCATTTTTATCTGACTTTTATTTCTTCGGCGGATCTATTCAGAACAAATGCTATCAATACCATCACACATATTTCTTCGCAGGCGTTTCCTTGAAACTAGAGCAAACACCTGAATTGTATAGCCATAATTAATTTGCATGCCGAACACAGAATGGAAGTTTACTGTTCAATATACTACAATTAGGTTGAGGCTTTTAAATTCGTATATTATGCAAACAATGCACACCAAACAGAGAATGAATTAATTTGTAACGTAAAACAGTACAAGCTAACAGGACCACCAACATCCCAAACCACATTAAGTCCTTCTCGTTCAAGAAGTCGTTTAACCAATGAAATTTCAAATCTTGGTTGACAGATTTTCAACGCGAGGGTTGAATGTAAACTGCTGAATATATTCACCATAATACCTTGCCTTAATCCTTGCTCGGTCATGAACTCATCGGTGATCGTATGTCCTGTTCTGACGACATTCCTACATGCCCTGTACATACTTTTTATAGCTTCTACTAATTTTCTGGTAATTTTTCTTTGTTTTAGTATGTTCCACAAGACCCGTCTATCTACACTATCAAACGCTTTTTCCAAGTCTAAAAATACTACACATGCTTCTAGGTGTTGATCTATGAGCTTTTCGGTAATTTGTTTTATTGTGAATATGTGGTCCCGTGTACTAAATCCTATTCTGAAACACACTCGCAGTGCCCGTATGCTGATTTTCTATTTTGTAAACCTGTGTTGTGTTATTTCCCTATAATTTTTGCAGTCCTTATTATCCCCTTTTTAAATATATGTATAACTACGCCAATCTCCCAATCTTTTGGTATTCCCTTTAGCTTCCATATTTTAGAATATAAATAAGTTTCTCGTCTTTCCCACTTCTCGTTTCAGGCCTAATGGAATCATACCCCGCTGCTCTTTCCTTTTTAATTTTATATATAGCTTCCTCAATCTCATTAGTTGTTATATCATCATCGTCGTCATTCTTTTCTTGTCCTTGTCCTGCATGTACTCATCCTTACCGAAGGTGCCCTTCCCTCTTATTTACACATAGTAACTCTTTAAAGTATTCCATCCATCTCTGTCGTATGCCAGTATCAGTTGTTAACACATTACCCTCTATGTCCTTAATCGCTGTTTCCACTCTTTTATCAACATTGCGGAATGATTTTACAGTTTCTTAGTCTATCAGAGTCTTTAATGTTCACAAACAGTGTCTGCAAGCTGACAAAATCATACTGATAAGGTATCGTTTATTAAACCCTAATATACCAACAAGCGACAGAAGTTGCTGTATCTTTTCATGATGTATGTATGTATATAATGTGCAGAAAGTTAAAAATAGAAAATAACATTTAATAAACGATAGTATTTGAAAGCATGTGCAATATGTTTAATTGTATCACAGCAGTCAACAAATTATTATATATAACTATTACATGTACATGCACTTATTTTTTTTCAGACAAATGACACGTGAAGCGTTACCGCGCCTGGACAATTACAGGAATATAATGTCCTTCCAGGCTGCTAATCGTCCAACCTTAGATGAATTGCATAATGCCACGTTATCAAACAAGGTAAAGTATGGAAACAGAAACTATATGTGTCGTACGTACACTGCCCGTCAAAGTAACGCCTGTACTTAATAAATGCGCGTTCACGCTAAGCGAGTACAAATACCGTTTGTTGCATAATGACAACTGAACGGAAGTGTCATTTTGAAACCTATTGACTCATCATCATCATAAAGTCGCCAGTCTTTTTGGAATGGAGACAAACCAAAATTTAAGCAATAATCTCATAACATGATTAATCCGAGTCATTACTTTATGATATCGATATCATCCTTGCAAAATCATCATCATAAGGCCATCAGTCCTAAGACTGGTTAGACACGCACTTCCACTCCTTCCTATCCTGAGCTAATCTTCGCATTTTCCTGAAACTGGATTAATCCACATCCTTAACTATTTACGAACAGTAATCTAATCTAGGTCTACCTCTATTCCTCTTAATTCCTGTTTCTGCCTCTAATATGTCTCTGACTAGACCATCTTATTGAACTCCATAGAGTCCACTGTTCTCCTATGCTTCCTAATACCTCCTTATTTCTAACCTCTATCCACGATATCCTAATCATTCGCCTGTAACACCATATTTCGAACGCTTTTAACATTTTCTTTTCCGCCGGGCCCACCGTCCATATTTTGCACCCGTACAGCACCTTTAACAATTTTGTCAAATTTCTAAATTGTTTGCGAGCATAGAAGTGACTTCTTTTTATTGAAGGCGACTCGACCCTGAGCTATCCTCTTCTTTATATCGCTCCTACTCCTTCCGTCCTTACTTATCCGACTTCTTAGATCCTTCCCTTGCATATTAGTATTTCAAATTTTATAATTTCCTTATTTGCCTCATGGTCCTAACATTCCACGCTCCGACTCGTGAAATATTGCACCTTCCTCTATTGCACTCATTGATGACATCACACGAGGTAGTCCCCGCCCAGACATCCGAATGGGGGACTAGTTTACATCAAGAGTGCTTTATCCCAAAGGATGCCATCATTCTAGTTTGATGTGTTTTTCTTGACAGATCATAATGTGGTGGCTTCCCGTTGCCTTCCACATCGCAGTATTGTGCATCAGAGTGCCATACCGATACTAATGATCTCTGCCATCCTGAATTCTGAAAGAGCTGCTGCTCTGCTTCAGGGACTTGTCTTAGTCTGGTTTCTCTTTAAGAACCCCCCCATTAAGGTTGAACCTATGATCAGGCTACCTAAATCAGAGCCGGGCAAACTCGGCTCTTTTGACTCCCGAGTGCTCCTCAGGTGTAGCCAAGGAGCTCCTCATTGATCCTGCGAGTGCGAGTGAGATAATTCTTTCCGTTTCTTATTCCTTCCATTTCGTAGGTGAGTCCCCTCTTCCATAGCCAAACCCAATAATAGTATTGCGAACGAAAATTTTCGTAGGTATTATTTCAGTTGGGAGAGAAGCTTCCCTTGTCTTCGGTATGAAGGGGCTTGATATGGGAGTGGAAGAGAGACGAAAAAGAGAAAGTAATATGGGTCATTACTGCTTACATTCTCGTATTCATTGAAGGGTATGGAGTGACTCAAACTAACCTCAGGTAGCGGCTCCTACAAAGTTGAAGTTTGCCCGGCTCTGACCTAAATCATCGAAACTCGCAAGCCCATCCACCCACTTTAAAAAATCAGGTACAGTCCATTTCAATTTGTTGGAATTGTGACCTTGAAGAAATCTGCGCGAAGATAGAAAGAATACACACTAGGCGTGAGCAAGACAGAAATAGTTGGAGCAAGCTTGAACGAGCAGACCTCTAGATGGGCGGTCTTAGAAGATCGGCTAGAAATGTACAGTACTAGACGAAAATATTTAGCAATTTCTTAAAACAAAAATGTATATAAATTGACAATAGAAAACAAAGCAAAAGTTTTATAGGTGTGTAGAGCGTTAANTTCTTTGGCAAAACCAGTTGGTTGGAGGCCCACCTTTAAGGTTTGCATACATAAGTAAGTACCACTGCGATCTAGTCCACTTTCTCGTTGCAGTATTACAACATGTGGCTGAGCTTAATGGGTGCCATTTTATGCGTACTCGTAATGTTCTTGATATCGTGGTGGACTGCCCTGGTTACCTTTTCAGTTGTACTTGCCCTTTACCTCTTCGTTTCGTATCGGAAACCCGGTAGCTTGTCAACTATTAATTGCTAATTGTAAATCATGGTTAACACGGTAATGATTTTAGATGTAAACTGGGGCTCGACAACTCAAGCCCAAATATACAGAAACGCACTACAGGCTGCACATCAACTCAACAACATTGAAGAGCATGTCAAAAACTACAGACCTCAGATACTAGTCTTGTCTGGGATGCCAAGCGCCAGACCAGCTCTGGTGGACTTTTCTAGCCTTTTGACCAAAAACCTTTCGATGTTGGTTTGTGGACATATCAATACAGTAAGGTCTGTCTGACGTGTAATAGCAGGTAGTAGATTTCAACTGTTTTAGAGCGTGTTACCGGAACGAGTAAGGGCAGTCTTGAATCACAAGGCAACGTCTTGGTTGAAGACGCACAAACTGAAAGCTTTCTACATGCAGGTGGACGGCACCACTTTTGAAGAAGGTGCAAAAGCCCTCCTCAAAGCCTGCGGAATTGGAAAGTTGAGGCCCAACATTCTTCTTATGGGACACAAAAACGACTGGCAAAAATGTTTGAAACAGGATTTAGATATGTACTTTGAAGTGCTACAGTACGTTATTTTATGGATAATAAAGGAGAATATATAATAAACGTTTATGCAATTTCTTCTAGCACGGCACTGGATCTGCACTTGGCAGTTGCCATCTTACGGCTTCAGCAGGGTTTGGAATTGAGTCGAAAGGCTCCCGGGGAAGAGGAGTTTCAAAGTTCGAAAATACGAAGTAACAGTTACGAATCAGTTCCAAGAAACAGGTCCTACGATCAACTTTCGCAAAGTAAAAAAATTTACTATCCTTTACGTATAGTATAATAATAAATATCTTTTCTAATTGATTTTGGCGTCAGTTAGCAGTACCAGTAATTTTTCCACTCCGGAAGCAAGAAAGAAGGCAGATACTGTAAGCTCGCGTCCTAATCCTGCTGAGGAACCTCAGAAGAAATTATTGAAATCTTCTGAGTTTCTTCATTCCGTGATGGAAGATAATAATGATTTACCGAAAGAAGTTGCGAGTCAAATGTTCCAGTTCCAAAAGAAACAGAAACGAGGAACAATAGACGTTTGGTGGTTATACGACGATGGGGGTAACTAAATAAACTATTATTGAAGTTTAAATAGAAATGAGCTAGGATGATTTTCTAGGTTTAACGTTACTGCTTCCATATATCATGAGAACAAGAAGGAATTGGAGCACATGCACCCTGAGAGTATTTACGCTAGCGAATAAGAGGAATGAATTGGAAGTCGAACAAAGGAATATGGCCAGCATGTTGGCCAAATTTAGAATTGACTATTCTGACCTCCAAATAGTACCTGATATTACTAATAAACCCACGGAATCTACACAGCAGTTTTTCGATTCGCTCATTGCTGATTTTCGAGAATCTAATAAAAACCCTGACGCGGGTAATTAAGTTCAATTGTTATAGATTACAGTTTTAAGTGTACAAGATAGGTCTAGTTCAAAAGTAGATTCTAATGTCTAAAAATTTGGAAGAGATAAGGACGTTCGTTGACCATATTAATTTTGTTTCAGCGACGATATCAGATTCAGAACTGCTATCAATGAAGGAGAAAACGAATAGGCATCTTCGATTACGTGAACTCCTTCTGGAGCACTCTCATGATGCAAGCTTTATTGTTATGACACTGCCCGTACCTCGAAAAAATGTGATATCAGCACCTTTGTATTTAGCCTGGTTGGAACTTTTGACAAAAGACATGCCGCCATTTCTTCTCGTACGCGGAAATCAGACATCAGTTCTAACATTCTACTCATAATTTATTATAATTTGTAATTTATTTACCTCAACATCCCAACAAGATTACAATATTAATATTTATTTATATGTATTATGCTACAGTACCTAATATAGCCAGTATTAATGAAAAGAGGGATTAGATAAAGATAAAATACTATGATAATTTTATTTAATATGACAATAGTCCATTGTATAAAGAGAAATTTACTAATATATAACATTAAACTAACCGTAATTCATCTATAATTATGACATTTTCAATAATTTTATAATATACAGGGGTTTTATACGTCATATATTAGATATGTAACCAATTATACACTCGGATGTTAACATGTAAACCCATCTACCTCTTTGAAATTGTTTAACACCAACTCAAATACGCCAAAATTAGCGTACTGTAATTAAAAATAGGGATCCATTGATAACATGATGGAAACCAAAAGTAGGCACACTTGATAGCTTCATCTCTTAATTATATTACACGTTTGAATGGCCAGATAGTGAAGTACAAAGTCTTTCAAATGTAGAAAGAAGAAACCTAATTTTGTGAAGCGCGATGACAGTTGTCAATTGTTAACTATATGACAAAAGAAAAACAAACATCACGCCTAGTATGGTTTTATTATTGATGACTGTACCAAAAAAGGAATTAAACTGGATATTTATTGAAATATTGAAAGTAAAACAAAATACGTTGAGGAAAAGTCAAAGATAATGAATTAAATTTATATTTGTAATAAGTTCTATTTGATAATCCGAAGAGGTACTCTTTCAATTACGACTAAAAATACACAAAAGGAAAAAGCAATTACAAAG